CCCACACCTCGCTCAGCCAGTGAGCGGGAACCAGTCTGTATGTGGGATCCGAACCCTCGGTGGGAGCGCCACCGCGCTCCCAAGCGGCGCACTGTAGCAGTGCGCCACCGGGCCGGCCCTCAAATTTGGGAAGTTTTCAACCATTATTTCCTCAAATATTTTTTCTTTCCCTTTCTCTCTCTCCTATCTCTCTGGTATCCCTATTACACACATGTTGGTACACTTGATGTGCCCCACATGTCTTTGAGAGTCTTTTTACTTTTCCTCATTCTTTTTTATTTCTGTTCCTCAGAAAACTTAATTGACTTTCTTAAAGTTTACTGCTTCTTTCTTCTGCCTACTAAAATCTGTTTCTGAGCAGTTGTCTTTGTTGCCTTGGTCTGCCATAACAAAATATCACATACTGGGTGGCTTAAACACCAGATATTTATTTTCTCACAGTTCTGGAAGCTGGAAGTCCCAGATGAAGGTGCTTGCTGATTTGATTCCTGGTAAGGCTCTCTTCCTGGCTTGCGTATGGCTGCCTTTTTGCTGTATCTTCACATGGCAGAAAGAGAGAATGAGCTCTCTAGTGTCTCTTCTTATAAGGACACTAATCCTATCATAGCCCCACCCTTATGACATCATTTAACCTTAATTGCTTTCTTACTCTGAACACAACCACACTGGAGGTCTGGGCTTCAACATATAAATGGGGGATGGGAGAACAAATTCAGCTCTTCTAGTGAAGTTTTCACTTCAGTTACTGTACTTTTCAACTCCAGAATTTCTATTTGGTTCTTTATTTATAATTTCTATTTCTTTATTGATATTCTCTATTTGGTGAGACATTGTTCTCATATTGTTTTTTAGTTCTTTAGACATGGTTTCTTTTAGTTCCTTGAACATAGTTTAAATGTTGATTTAAAGTCTTTGTCTAGTAAGTCTAATGTCTGGTCTTCCTCAATGACAGTGTATTTATTGCCCTGCCCCAACCAATGTATGGACATACTTTCTTGTTTATTTGTATGCCCCTTAACCCTTGACTGGTGTTGTCAGCACCACGCTCACCCAATGAGCTAACCGGCCATCCCTATATGGGATCCGAACCCCATGGCCTTGGTGTTATCAGCACCACACTCTCCTGAGTGAGCCATGGGCCGGCCCAGTGCTTTGTTTCTTTTATTGCCAAATAGTATTCCATTGTATGGATGCACCTGTATAGAAATATTTTAAAATGTCTGCAAGTTTGAGGTACTCAAAAAAGTTTCACCTTGAGTTATTGTGTATATTTAGTAGCACAAATGGGACATTATTTTTAAGGAGTAGTAGTAACCAAATAAGTGTAATAAAATATTTATGATCTGATGAGTTTTTCTTATTTAGCTGTATTACTCTTATTTCTTTTGACATAAGACATTTTTGTGGCTTTTCTATCCATCCCAAGATTTGTTAGATGCTGTCCAGGTTCCAGGCACCGAGGGAAACATGAGGATGAGAGGGAGCTATATTGCAGCATGTACAAGCTCACAGGGTTTATAAGACTGTGAAATGGGAGAGACAGACATAAAGCACCATAAAGATAGTACATACAAACAACACCCTGTGAGCATTCAACACTTTATATTTTATATAATCTGTGTTTTAAATCTATATGAGTATATAATTTTATAATTTATATTTTTAAATTATTAGAATAAGTAAAATAACATGATTCTCTGAAATAATTAAATCATAGAATGCAAAGGTTCATCCAGAACCATTTGATGGATATTCTTCCTTTACCTCAACCAACTGCACGCGCCCGTGATGCAGCCGGTCTGGCCGTGGGTTATATGGCTCCTCGTAGATGAGGGACATGTGCTGACCCTGTTTAAAGAAAAAAGAGAATGCATTAGTGCCTTGGTTGGGAGGTTTTGAGATTTATAAATGACCTAAGAACATATTTCTATGGATCTACATTATATGATATGCCTATTCAGAATTAACTGACGGGTAAAAGGTTTAGCAACATGGAAATAGAAAAATAATAGCAAATATGCTACATTTTCACAAATTGGAAATCAGAAAAATTCCTTTGACCAAAAGTGGCTAAAAAGGATGGGAAAAAAAATGTTTTAAAGCCATGCTTTGTAGAAAATGCATGCAGTGTTGTTTTCATTACAGCCTACAGGACCAGAATGTGGTAGCAAGAAAGTGCTTTGGTAGTGGGTTACAGAGGAAGGTGAGTAGGGTGGAAGGGTTGGCAGAGCCCAACTGTGCAGCAGCATTGTCAGGGCATGTGGAGGAAGGAACGGACCCACAGCCCTTCTCCTGTGCAATTCAACTTTGCTCACTCTGAGCCTCACCCCCACCCCTTTACAGTGGTTCTGGAGGGACTCAGAGAGCAGAATGGGATGGCCAGTGCCCACTATTAGCGCCCCACATGAAAGCCCCTGTTTTTCTGTTGTAGCACCAGACCCAAAAGAGTTCCATTCCTTAGGGCCAGTGTTTCAGGAAGAAGAGCATTATCTGGAACCACATATCATTTAAAACCTTAAACTAAGGAACATGCCCAGAGGCTCTTAATTACAGTTGTTTGGAACAAAGCAGCACAGTAAATGTTTCATGAGACTAAATTATTTTCCATATTTGAAGATAAAATTAAGGAAAATTTTGATTATTACCTCTTGTTGAATTCCAATAGTTTTACAATAAACTCTCTGCCAGTAAAAAATAGGTTTATTGAACTACAAGATGCTCTGCAAAAATATAAATTGAAATACAGCCCTGCCATGACAGTATTTTTGCATAGCTATTTTTCCTTAAACTATAACTCTAAAATCGTTGCTGCTTTATTTTCAAGATGTTCTACAAAGATTCCTTGGAGTTTTAAAACAGTTCAATAGATTTACATCCCAATAAAAATGAAATTTAATGTGGCAGTGCCTGAACACAAATGTCTACCAAGAATTCGAGGCCCCTGGCTGTGATGAAGTGTCTGAGACCTGCTGGTCCCTGTTTACAGTAAATGACACATACAAAAACCCCTCAGGAAGCTATAATTACATTAATCACAGCACATAAGCCAGAAGTAGAGTCAGCTTCAGGCTATGGCATTTCAACCTATATTCAAGGCATGGTGCCCTGTGTTGAAGGACATTTGAAGTAGGACGTGACAGCACCCCTGCCCTCAAGGTATTTGCTAGATTGCAGCTCTGGATTGTATGCCAGGCACATAGTGTGTGTATATTACTTCCCTTCTCAAAACATCAGAGTGGGCCCCACTGTCTATATCACGTTAAATTTCTGTCATAGCATCAAGCACTCCCCTCCCTACCATTCCAGGCTTGGTTTCAATGACTTGGCATGTGCTGATAATACAGCCAAGTTGGACTGGTCATCTCTTGAAGACTTCTGAGGGCCTCTCAGAGTACTTACCCCCCCTCACCCCACTCACACCCCTCTCTGATAGGGCCTTGTTTTAACTTCTCAAACACTTGCTGTTCAGTGGATTGTAGTGATTTGCATATTTCTCTAATCTCCCCTCTTTTTGAGGTCAGGGGTCACCCATCCTTTACAGAGCCCAGCGCTGTGGCCTTGCACACAAGAAAGGCTCGAAAACATGTATGAAACTAAATTGAAAGATAGAAACTTAAAAAATGTTGAACTTGAGAAAGTAACTTGTGAGAAGCAAGGGCAAAATATAGTTAAGTATTTTGGGAGGGAAGAGAGAAGACAGAAACCATTTGATCAGAGGAAGCAGAGATGCTACATGCTCTAAACTTCATTTTTAGTTTATGTAAAATATCAGAAACCACTTAATTCAAACTTTCTGTAGGCCATGTATCAAGATGTCCTAAAATTAGATCAGCACCAACACAACCACCACTTCTGACACTTGGGTTGTTATGATACCTACAGTGAGCTGCACATCTGGCTGCTTCTCCAGAAGAACCATGTCACTAGGTAATCCAAAGGACTTGGCTTGGTAAGTGAGGTAGCCACCATACGAAGAAACCTAAAATTGAATTAATAGCATCAATAGCACAAGCATTAAAAGGGACTATGTCAACATTAACCCACGTAAAAAGCACATAGGCACATAAAGTCTGAAAGATACGCAATCAACCCATTAACAGAAGTTATATATAGAGAGTGGAATTGAGGATGGTATTTTAACTTTCTACTTTCTACCATTTTTTTATATCATTTAAAATGTTTGGCATGAGCATGATTGAGTTTTACAAGCAAGAAGATATTTCTATTAAAAAAAATGGTCATACTGAAACAAATAAGATATTTTTTTCCAGATGATTCCTAAACCAAAATGTCTATTTAATCCACAGCTATTTGAGGAAATCTAGGCCACTAGTTTCTTATTTAACTGAGAGTATTGGGTAATATCTATCAGTCACAAAGTGAACCTCTAAAAATACATTTCCAAGAAATAATTCCCCTGAAAGCAGATGGTGAATATTTCCTAGGTTTTCATGAATTCTACTGTGTACAGAAGCCATGACTAACTACTCCAGTAGGTGTATGGACTTTCTGTAGATGCCACAAAGGCAGCAAGATCATGGTGGGGACGTATAGAGGAATGGTCATAGCTTTCTGACAGCTACTTCAACTCTGGTCCTGATACCTCCCAGAACCAATCAAGAAAGAGGGAGTGACCAAGGGATGGAAATCAGAGGCAACATCGCCTCAGATTAGACAGAACAAAAAACCCATAATGGAAAATGAAAACAACTTGGAGCAGGCAGAAGGGATCCCAATCTTCAGAAGCTTTTCCCTAGAATGTGTAACCTGACAAAGCCTCACAGCACGATGGCTATCAGAACAAAAAACCCATAATGGAAAATGAAAACAACTTGGAGCAGGCAGAAGGGATCCCAATGTTCAGAAGCTTTTCCCTAGAATGTGTAACCTGACAAAGCCTCACAGCACGATGGCTATAGAGTCTAGAAGTATTCCAAGGTAGCACCTTATTGAATCCTCTTATTGAGATTAAGTATCACCTTTTTGATGGGCTGAGCTGGTATATACTAATTATCCTGATTTGAGCATCACGTAATGCACACAGGTATTGATATTCAATGCTGAACTCCACAGACATATACAATCAATTATGTTTCAATAAATATATAATAAATAAAATACCAGCAGCAACCAATTAAAAAAAAAAAAACAATAACAAAAAAAACGTATCCACAAATTCTGTGTATTCCTGCCTTCAGGAGGTGCAGTTTAATTCCTCTGCCCTTGAGTGTGGGCTGGACTCAGCGACTGGCTTCTAATGAATGGAATAAGGCAGAAGTGACAAGTAGGTCAGTTCTGACATTAGGTTATAAAAAGACTGCAGCTTCTCTCTTGAGTTTCTCTCTCTCTCTCTCTCTCTCTCTCTCTCGTCAGCTGCTTTGGAAGAAGCCAGCTGCCATGTCGTGAGGATCCTCAGGTAGCCTGGGGAAGGTCTCAAGTGATGAGGAACTGAGAGGCCTCCAGCCAACAGCCAGCGAGGACCAAAGGCTTGATGGCAATCGTGCAAATGAGCCTGGAAGGGGATCCTCCAGTCCCAGAGGATTGAGGCCCTGGCTGACATCTTGACCGCAACCTCCAAAGAGACTCTGAGCCACCCCCTCCTGGGTTCTTGAAACTGTGCAAGATAATCAGTTTCTTGCATTGAGCTGTGAAGTGTTGGGATAATTTGTTACACAGTAACAGATAACACCTGGGCTGACCATATAGTGGTGAAGAGAACTATTGAGAGGGAGAGGTGGGGTCACATGGGAGAAGCAACATTCCCCACACTCAGATGTCAAAACCCATAGTCCTTCGACCAGAAGACAGACTACGGACCTCAGGCCGACAAGACCCTAATATGTAGTCATTCTAAATGTGAGACTATGGCCTCACTGGGGTTGGGCCCTGAGAAATCCATCCCTTCTCAAAAGTTCTACACTTGCCTAGAAGTGTAGCTCACCTGATGGTGTTTCCCCACGAGGCCTGCATTTCTGTCCTCATAAAATGAGTATAGTTGGCCAGTCTCTGAATAAGCATTTATGCAGCAAAGGAAGAGCAGCTAGTTTGTAAGCTCCACAAGAAGTGGCACATGATTCTGCTTATGAAAGTCGAGCTGCCTCCAGAGCCTGTGCTACTTTTAGTAAATGTATGAGTCACTTCTCAGCTTTTGTTTTCCTGACAAGGAAACTTTCTTCTGCTTTAATTCAAAGAATTCTCAGCATGGGCCTTTAAAAGCATAATACCTGTCCCACTTGCAGCAGATATTATTTAAATGGTTACTTCCCAGCAGGCAAATTCTCTGGCATTAAGTAAAGATTAAGAAAAGCGCTGTGCGTGATGCCAGTTGCTGTGGGGCTCACAGTGGAGGTGGGTCCCTTCTTCATTTTCAGTCCCCCTAATTTCTAAAATGTTAGTAACCTGACTTCTTGATGCTTCCTTCCTGACATCCAGTCAATGATGCTCATGCAGGGACAGAGGAGGCCCACAGAGGGCTCAGAAGAACAACAGGACATCGTTACCTTGTCCCCCAGGTAAGAAGGGGGTGCGACCCAGGACGCACTGTGGACTGTGGGGGGCATCTCCTGGAGATCTGCAACCACACTGTTGCTGCCTGGGTTGAATGAGATGGGGATGTCCACTCCATCTGCCATCTGCAGGCGCCAGCCCAGCATGTCAACAAACTGGAACACAAACGTGAGGCAGGGATGTGCGGCTCTGGCTGCTTTGGCAATGGCCACTTAAGTGTAATAGAAAGAGCCGCGGGGCAGCCAGCCTGCCTCAGAGGCTTCCTTTCTGTGTCCCCTCCCTTGGGCTCCACAACAGAGCCTCGCCCACTGCTGCCCTGTTCTCGGGAGGCAGTGACCATACGTACATGGAACTGATCTGTGAATCCCGGCACACATCCCGCTTCTTGACGGTAGGTGTTCAGTGAATGTTCAAATAAAAAATAAGTGTATGCATAACAACTACAACTGTGAACACATTTTAATAGTGCTTTCTTGTAGAGAAAAATGTGACGTGGAGTACAGTGGCCTGTTGTATTCTTCTCTAAATGAAGCATCAAAATTAAATATTTCCCTGGTCACAAAGGAAGCCAGTTAATTTTGAGGGAAGAAAAAAGAAAGAACTGACAAGGCCCAGGTTGGGAATGAGCTTTCTGGTTTGGGGGGCCAGGGGTTAAGGAGAGGAGACCAGAGCGGACTCACAGAATGATGTTTTTTCCAATTACCAGCCTGCACTGCTTGGAGGAGGCAGGCAGTAAGACATGAGATCCTCTTGTTGGATATAAGACATTGCTCACACAAGGAAAGCAAATATGAGACTGCTGGTTTATGAAATAATGAAGACAATGGAAGCTTTAGTTTCCTGAGGTTAATTGAAAAAGTGGCCAAAGACGAGATGGGGGAAAATAGGTGAGATGGAAAGTAAAACAGAAGGACAAGAAGAAAAGAGAAACGCAGGGCGTGATATTGTGATATAATAGGAAATATCTGTTTGGTCTTTGTCCCCAGTTCCTGGCACAGAGCTCCTAAAACCCATGAAATCTCATGAGTGACAGGGGTGACTCCTATCTTTAGTTCTAATATTTGGTCTTAGTCGCCAGTTCCTGACACTAGAGCTTCTGAGACCCGTGGAATGTCCAGAATGGTAAGAGGGTCATTCATAAGCTAATGAGATGACTGGGTGCTGGGGCCCATAGGTGGCCTCAGGATTCAGGCTAAGCCAGAAAGACCAAGGCAGGATTAGAGGGTTGAAACTTTCAGTCCCACCTCCCAACCTCTGCAGAGAGGAGAGGGGCCGATGATTGAGTTAGTTACTAATGGCTAATGACTTAATCAATCATGTGTACTTAATGGAAGCTCCATAAAAACCCTAAATGACAGTCTGGGAGAGTTCCTGGGTTGGTGAACACATGTGCACTGTACTTGGAAGGTGGCACACCCCAACTCCACGGGACAGATGCTCCTGGGCTCGGGACACTTCCCAATCTCGCCCCATGCACTTGTTCATGTGGCTGCTCATTCAGGGTTGGTGAACACATGTGCACTGTACTTGGAAGGTGGCACACCCCAACTCCACGGGACAGACGCTCCTGGGCTCGGGACACTTCCCAATCTCGCCCCATGCACTTGTTCATGTGGCTGCTCATTCATGTCCTTTGTCGAGTTCATTATAATAAACCAGTAATAGTAAGTAAAGTGTTTCCTTGAGTTCTTAGAGCCATTATAGCAAATTAACCAATCCAAGGAGGGAGTTGTGGGAACCCCCAATTTGTAGCCAAGTCAGTCAGAAGTACTGGAGGCCCAGCACTTGCATCAGGCATCTGAAGAGGAGGGCAGTCTTGTGGGACAGGAACAGAGCCCTCAAGCTGTGGGTCTGATGCTACCTCCAAGTAGATAGTGTCAGAATTGAACTGAATTGTAGGACACCCAGTTGGTGTCTGCAGAGAACTGGAGAACTGCTCGGTGTGGAAAAATTTGGTTTCAGAAGTATGATGAGTAAAGAAACAGGGTTTTCTTTTAAGGGGGGAAACAACCAACTCCATTCATTCAATGAGCATTTATTGGGAGTCTATTATGTCCTAGGCCTTGTTCTAGGCACTGGGGATATATCAAGGAGCTCACATTCTAGTGGCAGAGGAGGACAGATAATAAACAAATTTTGAAATGAAATGTGTAACAAATCAGGGAATGATAAATGATAGGAGAAAACAAGGAGAAGGGCACAGGGTGACCACGGTGTGCTATTTTATAGGGACTGGGGAGGGAAGACCCCTCTGAGCATGTGACATTTGAGCAGAGACCTGACAAATTCAGGGAACAATCATGAGGACCTCTATGGAGAAAACACTGCAGGCCAGGGAACAGCGAAGGCAATGCTGACCATTTCAGTCACTCGATATACGAAAAGTTCCACAACACTCAGGCCAGTGCATACCTTAGCTCTTCTCTTGTGTGTGCTGTGACAATGAGTATTTACTCCAAAACAAAAGCAGCTGGTACAGCCCTTGGGATTGGCAGGGTCCAAATGGAACGATCCTTCTCGACACACATTACATTCTGCACCTTCCACGTTTTCCTTTTGAAGCAAGACATGAGGAAGAAGAGTCATTCCTTTAAAGCCTCCCTGACTGCAGTGAGCTACTTGCACAAATTAAATGCCAACACAAGATGTAAGAACACAAATGCTAACACAACATTAAAAGATACGTAATTGTTAAGCTTTCACAACATATTAATTGTTTAAACTTTTTTACCATACGCAAACGGAAGAGAGAATTCCCTAAACTTCACAAGATCCCCTTTGGCATAAAAATAAAAAAATAGCACCAGAAGGATTCACGGTATGGGGAGACTAATTCATACCACTTGCTACCACCTCGAAATATCTGCTGGTGGGCTGGCCAGTTAGCTCACTTGGGAGACTGGGAGAGTGTAGTGCTGATAACAGCAAGGTTAAGGGTTCGGATCCCTGTACTGGCCAGCCACCAAAAAAATAAAATAAAAATCTGCTGGGAATTGGGAGCTCTCTTACAACCTGGCAGAATGCCTAGGACCAGAGATGATAACCTGGGGTCTATGGTCCAGGAATAGGCTTTAGGAGAACCTATGAACCTCTTGAAATTATAGGTAACAGTTGGTGTTGATTTTTCTGGAGAGGGTCTACAACTGTCATCAGATTCTCAGGGGGGTCTGTGGCCTCTCCAAAGGATGAAAGGGGTCTTCCCTTCTAACTATTTCTATGAAATGAGATAATGACTTTAAAACGCTACACGTACTATGGAAATCTCTTATGGGTCTGTCTCATTTCCCACGCAGTTTTACATATTGACTCAACATGAAGAACTCCCTTCCTGACTGGTAGCTGGCATCCATCATCACGTGATCCATATTACCTTGCAGAGGCAGGCCCCAGTCCCCGGGTCACACACTTCTGGCCCAGTCCCATCTCTGTTGCAGTTGCAGGGAACACACTCAGGGAAGTGGTAGAACCCAGAAGCACATTGGTCACACTGCCGCCCTGTGATTCTGGGCTTGCATCTGTACCCAAAGCAAAGGAAGCAAAAATCCTCATCATCTTTCTACACACAATTCTATAAGGATCCACCTACATTGCAGCAGAGCAGCTGCTATACAAAGCCAGTTAAATAGACACAATGCCTGCCCGCAGGGTGCTTATAGTCTAAGGTAGAACAGGGAGAAGCAGACAGAACATGCTTACGGAAAGCAGGTCAAGGAGACCACGTGCATGGGGCACTCCCCTGGGTCAGGCTCAGGAAATGCTAGGTGCTGGGGCACTCAGTCTCTCCATTCCAGCTGGGGTCTGCTGGGGTCTATCTACATGTGGATCTTTCTTGTGGGTCTAAGGAAATACTAGACATGTGCTTTTTATTGGCATACAGGGAGTAATATTTTACAATTAAATTGCTACCAAATGTAAATTATCACCTATTTCCTAACACCTGTTAAAAGATCTTACCCAAGCAACCATCCTAAAAAAGATAAATACAACTTTATATCCCACTATGTTTGCCCTTGGCAAGTATCTGCTTATAACCAGATAAAGGATTTGCACTTGATTAAGGACACAAACTTGGAACTAGGTGACCTAGGTTTGAATACCAACTCTACCACTTACTGGTTGTGGGACCTTGGGCAAATTAATCTCTTTACAACTGAGTTCCTTCATGTGTAAAACAGAGATACTATCTACTTCTTAGGATTGTTGTGAGGATTAAATGAGATAATATATGTAAAAACCTTAGAACAGGGCCTTGTACACATATAAGCATTTGCTATTATTATTCTTGTCGTGGGTGCCCCTTTATCCACTTTGCGCACTGAAACAGACTAAATCAGCTTTACCTGCAAGACCCGCTGACAAGTCAAATGTCAGTTCAGTTCTTCCAGCCCCATCTCCCTATCTTCATCCCTACTTGGTATCTACAGAAATTATTTTTGTAAGGAAGAAAGTATCCTTGAAACCACACCTATAGCAATGTAGGTATAAAGTATAAATGTTCTGCTTGAAGGGGTCGATCAAGTGCTGTGGATTGTAAACTTTGGAAGGGGATTGGAGACCTCTCTGAGAAGCTGGATAAACTATGGGCCATCTTCTCAGAAAAGTGTTCTACACACGCACACTTCCTGTCATATACACGCAATTGTGTATTCGCTATCAAAGGGCTCCTGAGCCCCAGGTTAATAACACCTGCTCTCTTCTTGTGAATTTCAGACTAAATGCAATCAGAAAGTCCAGCAAAAAAATATAAAGCCTGTTCTCAGATGATTCCCTAGTTCTGGAGAGGCAGTAAGTGTGGATGGTCTAGAGATGGGAGAGGAAAGAGTACAGATAACCCCTCCTGAAATAAAAACCATCAGAAAGAGGAACCTTAGAACACAAGAGGGACTTTGGAGATGGCCTGACGTTGGCTGGATGGACCCTGCTTCTTTTCAGCTGGCAGTGAGGAAAAGAACAACGCACAGAGGGATGGTGGTTTTGTCATGCAGTGCCACCAGGCAGCCCACTGTCCCGATGCCAGGGACGTTTCCTTTAGCAAGCATACTGAACTTCTGGCCCAGGGTGCATGAACTGAATGCTGGTACCAAACGAGCAACTCACATGCTGACACCATTGGTGGGCGAGGCTGAGAGTGTCCCCTGAGAGGGTCACCTAGGCCTGGACCTTGAAGGTGGGGACACACAGATGGGAACCTGTTTTTTATATTTTCACTTCATTGGGAAAGTAAGGGACAGGAGTATTTTGCAGTGAGGGCAGCTGTGGAAGCTGCTTGTCCAGACAAGGAGGAAAGGAAGCAGAACCAGGACTTGTCTGCCTATTGATTTCAGAACATATGTGCGATGATGTGGTGGATAGGAGAGGGGGCTGAGAGCGTGTGACCAAGTCAGTAGCACAGGACCAAGCTCTGAGCCCTCCGCAGCATGCAGGTAGCAGCTGAGAA